CTGCACCCCTAAACGCCTGCAGCCTCGGACCCCCGCACTTTTGGCCAGGGGGGCCAGGCTCTCACTGCGCACCCCCCAGTATTTTTTTTAAGGCGAAAATACGCGGGAGTCACAAAAATGAGTTATAATTGCACTACGGGCCAAGATACAGCTTCGAATTGCAGTTGGGGCAATGTGTAGAACCCAGCTTTCTGGCCAGGTAGGGTGCCCGAAGTGCAATTGCAAACTGTATCTTGCCCCGTAATGCAATTATAACTCGTTTTTTTGACTCTACTGAAGTTACCCTTTTCTTTTTTTTCTTTTTTTTTTCTTTTTTTTTTTCTTTTTTTTTCGGGGCTCCGGAGGCGGGGTTCGAGGTGCCCATCCCCGGACCCACCGACCCCTGCCGGGGCCAGGGCTGGGGCTCGACAACCCTGCATCTTCAGGTGCCCACACCGAGGTTTCCACGACCTCACGTACTCGACCACAAAGTGTCCTCCCCCTTCAAACCATGTTTTACACTCCTTCAGCGAACGTGTTTTCCAGCCTAAGGATATCTTGGAGGACCCGAATGCCTTCACGATCTTCTTCCAAAGTATGTGCCAGATGTTACCACCACTGCAGAAAATGTCAAAGTTGCGTGAGCCAGCAAAGTCCTGCTGCTTCAAAATTTCGATTCTTGATTCCCGTCGCATTCAAATACGACAACCACTAATGGATGTACACATTCTCAAGCTTAGTCAGAGCGTCATTAGTGATCGTGTCCACCGGAATCAGTCCATAATTACAGATGCCATATGCGCTAAACCAACTGTAAAAATGATTAAGACGGCGTACCCGACATGCATAAAGGCGCTCCCGCCACCTAACGTCTAGCTGCCTCACAGCCTTTCCAACATAATGATAGTGTGACTTGCAGTAAGGAGAGAAACGCACACGTAAACACAATTAGAATTTAGAAATAATATTCTCAAAAACCGGTCCTGAAGTTGTCGTACAATCGCAACCACGCTTCCACACATTTCCGATTCCCTCTGAAAACGCCAGACACCGACTTACGTACTATTACCAAATGAAGAAGTTCCTCCACCCCAGCATCAAGGTCTTTTTTTTTTTTTTTTTTTTTTTTTTTTTTTTTTTTTTTTAAGCATCAAGGCATTTTAGATCTTGCAAAACTCGTTTTTTTTTAAACTTCAGACGTCTGATAGCTTCAATCGAGGGTGGACTGTTGTTGGGGACTGACGATGGTGTCTTTTTTCGGCATGGGGGTATTTGTCTCCGTCTTTGCCGTAGATTGTGTGAGTCGCGCTGCAAGCTTGATGGGTTTCCCGACCCTCTCAGGTGTCCGGTTGGGTGACAGCTCTATGTGAGGGCTGTCTTCGAAGACAGGTTCTTGACCGCGCTTTCACTTCTCCAAAATACAGAGTTTGCGAGTGTGTGAGCTCCATTCCTCCGTCTCACTACGGCTCCCGCTTCGTTCCGTTCCGGACTCCACTTGATACACCTGCTTCTGCTAGTCCTTGGCGATGGTGAGGCAAAGTTAATTAATAGCTTCACGGATATCCTGTCTCACGTCTTCCCGCAATTCACCGATGCGTACAAACACCTTGATGCCAAAAGCATTCAAAGTTTCTTGTTTGAAATAATCGAAACACATCAAAATGGCGCTTGCAGTACCAAACAATAGAAAGATTTTACAAAAATAGGTCAAATTATCATTATTATCTATGATTAGATTATTATAAAACAGATTAGCAGTGGTTAAAGGATTGTTGAACAGCAACAGAATTGTCATCAAAACACTCAGTAAACCCAAGCATCCCACATTACGCACTAATGGTGCATAATCATATCTTTTTGAAGTGCTCGAAATCACTCCATATTAGATGTTCTCGTTAAACTCCTCTATCCGCTCGGCTTCCTTCCGAGCCTTCTCTTCCTTCTTCTTCTTCTTCTTCTTCTCCAACTCCAGGCATTCAGATTCTTCTCGCTCTTCAACATCGTTCTTCTCGGCCTTTCATCGCTCTTTCACCGCTTTCTTCAGCTGCTCACGATCGACCTTTTGGCAGACAGCTGCCACACTCTTTCCGATCTCATCCACTTTGGAGTGGATCAGGTCGCTTGAAGATGATGACGGCCTGGACCGGCCGTGGTCGGATCTTGACGGCGAACGGGATCTCCATGTATCTGAATCAATCAATAACAATGGTCGTACGTTGGAGTGACGGCCCATGTGAGGACACTGATTAGCATAGTGTTCCGGTTCACTGCAATTAAAGAAGTGGGTGGCCCGCATCGTGGTGCTCGATCGTAACTTCCCTGGTCACTACCGCCGTAACCTCCTCTATCACCTCCGCCATAGCCGTAACCTTTCTCATTCGCGCCGTAACCACTCCTGTCTTTACCGCCATACTCGCGGTAGTCACCTCCTGCGTCCCTTCGATCGCCGTATCTCGCCATCGGTGGCGGGGCCATTCTCCGAAAAACTCGTGCATTAGAAACCTCGAAGATGCCAATTTGCCGTAGTCGTCCAACTCGTCGCAGTTACGCACAGTAAACGTTTTTTTTTTTCCTTCCTTTTTTTCTTTTAAGAACAAATGCACAGTAAACGTAACAACGTTACAGGAGAGAATCGTGCTCGCTTATCTCAGCAATTTGCTCGAAGATAGTTCACACGCGCAATAGACAGTATAATCAGGAAAGAAGACTCAAACGTACAGACGTAGAGCACAAACTCAGACGTACACACGCAGAGTGAGTCAGATTCAAGTCAAAGTGACAAAAGCGTGACAAAGTACAACTCGTAGAATTCAGTACGGGAAAGCATCGTCAACATCCACAGCCCCAAGAATCCGCCAGTCGAACCACTGACCCTCATCTGGTACCACTTGCACTAATCGTAATTAGAGCTTGTGGATAGCCTAGCTCAGTGGGTACACCCATGAACTGTTGAAAATACAGACCCGTGTTCGAATCTAGATGATGGAAGTTGATGAGTAAAAGTTGTACAACCAACTATTTCTGGGGCCCATCAGCTTAATGATGATATCTCAAGTGAATGAAAG